AACAAACAAATCGCTTCCCCAGGAAACATCAAGGCAAGTGGTTGGGTCCCCTCAATGCAAACCCCCTTCCAAGACTAAGACTCAATGGACACACACGCTCTGATTGATGACCACATGCATCACCAATATGGGGAAGTGGGGTAAAAGCAGCAATGAAGCGGCAAGCTAAGTCCAGCAATGTTCAATGGGCTTCGGTGGACCCAGTTGATGACCTGGTTGACAAGCAGTATGAGGAGACCTGGGGGTTCTTGGGTCCAGAGTCAGTGGCGTGGCCAAGGAGGACTCGAGTGGAGAGTGGAGCTACCGGCTGATGGGAAGAGACAGCATGTGCACAAGAGCACCCATACTTGATGATGGTACCCATGTGACCTAGACCTGATGATCAGAGCTCAACCAGAAGAAAGATGAGGGAAAAAAAGAGTGAGCTGATATAATCTCATGAACTTGACCTATACCTACTGATGCAGTGACTCAAAAGAAGGAACAAATCCTTACAGCAAGAAACATTCCCACCCCCTCCACACACAGAGTGGGCAGAGATGGGCAACTTGGACATTGGATACTCTTGAGTGAGAGGAGGACTACAAAGGCAAGAAGTGACTGGCTTACAAGCTTTCAAGAGGGAACCTAGAGCTAGGGGGCATGGAGGAAGGCAGAATCTCCAGTGGGTACTATCCAATCTGTCTGGGTGGAGCTGATGAAATGAAATAGATGGGTAAATCATGATACTGTAGTGAATAATGGTTATCAGGACTGATTGTGAGGGTTGGAAATGCAAAGGTAGACGTTTTGTAGCAAGGAAGGGAGTGATTAATTCTCTAGTCTAGGAGTGGAGGTCTCTGGGATCATCAACAGAGAAAAGCCGAGAGCGGGACCCTATTCAGAGAAACAGAGATGCCTGAGATAGAGACAGAGACAATGACGTGGAGTGATGAAGCGGCTGGGGCCTTTGGATCCAGAGAGGGAGAGGGATGGTGGGCTGAAGACTGGAGGGGGGTTAGGGGGAGGGTTTCTAGGATATACCCTCTGGTCGGTTGATGATGAATGGAGGGGATTGGAACCATGGCAATGACACGATATACAATGGAATGAATGTAAAACTAAAGTTCTCTCATGTAAACTATCATATAATTCACAATAAATCATTAAAAAAATTAGACTGGATACTGCAGTCTATAATCACAGAAAAGAGAGGGGGGAAAGAAGGTGAAAAAATTTATCTGGAGTCTAATATGAGCATAGGATCTCTGGTAGCGTAGTTGTTATGAATTGGGCTGCGAACCACAAGGTCAGCAGTTTGAGACTACCAGCTGCTCAGCGAGAGAAACAGGAGGCGTTCTGCTCCGGTAAAGATTAACAGCTTCGGAAACCCTGTGCAGGGTCGTTATGAGTCGGAACCGACTCCACGGCACATCACAACAACAACATGAGTATAACTTTCATGTCCTCTTTCAGCTTCTTGCCTTCAAAGCTGCCTGAGAGATCTCAAGATGCCACTGTGGTTGTTATGCTGTACCTCAGGATTTAATTTAATTTTCGGCCTGTTTTGTTTTTAAACTCTCTTTCCCACTCCACACCCCTTGTTTTCTGGCCTTTGCCAAATAGAAAAAAACAAAAACAAAAAACACTTCAGGGCCTGCTCTTGTGCTGAGAGTATATGTGTGCATGTGTGGGAGTCCAGCTCTGGCAGGGTCACAGGACATGAGGGGAGACGCGGAGTTGGCGAAAATGAAAGCAATCAAGAAGCCTCTGATTAGTTGGCTGATGGGGCTTTCTCTGTTTTTCTTCTCTTTCTGCCCCGGGTCAGCAAGTCTTTATTTTTGTACTTAAAATTACACATTACAAAATAATTTGATACTTTGATTTTCCCTTCAATTATTACAGTTTTAATCATAACATTCCTTCACCCTGTGATCATACAACCTTAACAAAAGTATTTCTGTGATGTCCAAACTGACCCTTCCATATCCTGTTCATTTTTCAACTATTGAACATTTTCCTTTTGACATCATCTCCTCTCCTACGTCAGTGATAAATTGCTTATTTCTACTAAAAGATCAAGTTAAACCTTACACAAATCATTTCCACTTATCAGGCCCCTGATTACATCCTCTTAGTAATATAAGGTTCTATTAAATCATCAATGGCTACACTACTTTATTATTTCTACTAATCATCAATCTTCTATCCGACATAATGTACTAGTATTTTTCATAGTAAAGGTATTACTAACATCTACTTAATTATTTTATTTTTCTAAAGTATTCATTAGATTGCTTAACCACAGTGTTCCTATGTTCCTTTCTTTTGAAGCTCTGAGGCATAAGGCCCAATCTGGCTAATTGCTGCAGGAAATGTAATTATTAAGTTTAGACTATTTTTCACTTATGCTCATTATTCTCTGCTTATTTACGTAGGTGCCTATACGTAATAATGGGGATCTGTGGATTCTGGCTGGTAATTAATTGTAGTGAGGTCTGTAGAGGTCGGTCAACTTTACTGTAGTTTGTTATCTGCTTTTGTGAGCTAATAAATGCAGCTACTTTTTACTTAGGTTTTCTGTGATCGGGAGTGGCTCATACAATTCCCTTTGAATTCAAACCACTGAAGATGAAACAATTGTTGCCACACTGGTTTCTTCCCAAGGTCTGCAGAGCTCACAGTAAAGGCTGTGAATACGGCCACATTATATATTTTTACAGGTGAATTCAGAGTTATCCTACAGAGAATATAGAAGCCAGCTTCTGAGAATCATCTGCTTTGCATGACGTTTCTCCTTCTACTGGGACCGTGTCAAACAGCAGATGCCAAGCCGCATGCGTGGCAGAAGAAGCCATCAGTGGTGAGGGTGGGGGGTGTCCACTTGCTCAGGCACCCCCTCTAGTCACCAGAGAGGAGGTGTGCAAACAGTGGGCGGCCAATGAACAGATATCAGAAAAGAAAATCAGAACCAAGCGAATCTGACAAAGTGTATTGTCCACCTTTGCTCTGAGGTTCCTGTGGTGTTTTTCCATGGTGTGTCTGCTCCCCCACTTGGTCTTGCTCTTTGGTCTCACCCAAGTTGTCGACTCTGGGCCGCCAAGCTTGGGAAATTGATACGTACACGATTTCTTACTTTCGCTGCAAGTTCCACTAGCTATAAGCCTCCAAACTTTTAAAGTGTTCCTACCCATGTGGTTCTGAGTTTTGGAGCTCATCACTGAACCTGCTTTGCCTGGTATTCTGTAGTATGGCTGACAAGATGGTCTGAGGAGAGGTTGGTTGGAGAAAAGTCAATGGGAGAGGCCTAGATTGGTGTTCTATGAGAAATGTGGTTCAAGGACCCTGGGAGGCATTAAGCCAGAGAACTATGCTTCCAGGTGGTTTGTGAGGGAGTGGTCAGTGAGAGAGGGGGCTATACTTGCCAGGGAATCAAAGTGCTCCCTTCTCAGAGGGTCCCAACTTCTCTCCCCAGGTCCACATTAGATTCTCCAATCATTTAGTCAGAATCTACACTTCATCTTTTCAGGGACCAAAGTGCTGTGGAAATCTGAGCTGAGAATGTTGAGTTCTCTGTGTCTTCTCTGATGAGGGAGTAAGGTACGTGGCTTGGACTACAGCTCTGTGTGAAAGCAACATTTACTACAAAAGACTAAATCATCATGGGAAGAGGATTGGCAGAACCACCTGCCCACTTCAGGAACCCTTGGGGTTTCTCAACATCTTCCCTTGACATGAAAATGAAGGACCTGCTTACCCAATTATTTCTGTGCTCTTCACTCTCTGGAACTTGCTCTGAAGCCTCTCAAAGCTGGGGAGATGGAGGTGTTTGTTGGCAGTATTTTCTTCTCCTGTGTCCAATGAGGTGTGACTTATCACCAAAGTCTCGCCCAGACTCCCTGCAGATATAGGACTTCTCCCCAGAGTGTGTCCTCTGGTGCCTAATGAGGGGTGACTTCTGACTAAATCTTCTCCCACAGTCCCTGCAGACATACGGCTTCTCCCCTGAGTGGGTCCTCTGGTGTCTAATGAGGTTTGACTTATGACTAAAGTCTCGTCCACAGTCCCTGCAGACATAGGGCTTCTCCCCTGAGTGTGTCCTATGGTGTTTAATGAGGTTTGACTTATGACTAAAGCCTCGTCCACACTCCCTACAGACATAGGGCTTCTCCCCTGAGTGTGTCCTCTGGTGTCTGATGACGGCTGACTTCTGACGAAATCCTCTCCCGCACTCCTTGCAGACATAGGGCTTCTCCCCTGAGTGTGTCCTCTGGTGTGTGATGAGGACTGACTTCTGACTAAATCCTCTCCCACACTCCTTGCAGACATACGGCTTCTCCCCTGAGTGTGTCCTCTGGTGTTTAATGAGGTTTGACTTCTGGCTAAAGCTTCGTCCACACTCCCTGCAGACATAGGGCTTCTCCTCTGAGTGTGTCCTCTGGTGTATAATGAGGTGTGACTTAGCACTAAATCCTCTCCCACACTCCCTGCAGACATAGGGCTTCTCCCCTGAGTGTGTCCTCCGGTGTTTAATGAGGTGTGATTTCTGACTAAATCCTCTCCCACACTCCTTGCAAACATAGGGTTTCTCCCCTGAGTGTGTCCTCTGGTGTATAATGAGGTGTGATTTCTGACTAAATCCTCTCCCACACTCCTTGCAGACATAGGGTTTCTCCCCCAAGTGTGTCCTCTGGTGTCTAATGAGGTGTGACTTAGCACTAAAGCCTCGCCCACACTCCCTACAGACATAGGGATTCTCCTCTGAGTGTGTCCTCTGGTGTATAGTGAGGACTGACATCCCACTAAAGCCTCTCCCACACTCCCTGCAGACATAGGGCTTCTCCCCTGAGTGTGTCCACTGGTGTCTGATGAGGGCTGACTTCTGACTAAATCCTTTCCCACACTCCCTACAGACATAGGGCTTCTCCCCTGAGTGTGTACTCTGGTGTCTGATGAGGGCTGACTTCTGACTAAATCCTCTTCCACACTCCCTGCAGACATTGGGCTTCTCCCCTGAGTGTGTCCTCTGGTGTATAATGAGGTTTGATTTCTGGCTAAAACCCTTCCCACGCTCCCTGCAGACATAGGGCTTCTCCCCTGAGTGTGTCCTCTGGTGTATAATGAGGATTGATTTCTTACTAAAGCCTCGTCCACACTCTCTACACTTTACTTTTGCAATTCTTGGGATTCCTTTCCCCGGGAATAATTTGCCTGTGTCCTCAGCATTCATTCTGTGGCCTGGGCATGGGTCTGTCTGCGTCATTCTGTTAGCCTTCCTAGAACTCCCCATTTGGTCTTTGGGTAGACTAATGAAGGTCTTTAAAATGCCCCCCTGCCTTGTCCTTTCAAACATGGCTTTGGACCCATCTCCCATCTCAAGACCTTCTGCTCTGTCATTCGTGGCGAGTTGCTCAGAATGCGGCTCCTTCCCAGCCCCTGGATGGTGGTGCTCTAGGTGAAGGTGTTTTTCCGCAGGAGTTCTTGGAGAGGACTGAGAGGGATGGGTGTGCTGCACTTGTTGATGGAGGAATTTCTGACCAGACAAGACCAGAGGGCAGGGAGGACATGGATGGATCTCTGCCTTTGGTTCTCCTGGAAGAGAAAGTTTTCCATCAGAGTCAGTGGAGAAAGGACGGTCTGCTGTCTGCTTTGTGGAAAGAGTTCCTCTTAGGATCAGAACACAGGCTCTGACTCCACCAAGTCCTCCTTTATAGGGTTACTTTTCCCTCCATCCTTATTCATTGCATCTTCTTCAGCAATCTGGAAACCCACATCTGGAAATCAAGTGTAGACAATATAGGACTGGCCCTGGTCCACTGACTAAAGGACACTAGTTCCTGCTCAAATGCGATAGGAAGTTCTGTTTCAAATTACATCTCATGCAGACAACTCCCACCTTTGTCCACCACCCCACTCTCACCTGGGCGCTGAAGGAGTCCCCAAGTGGATCCCCAATCACATCTTGATCCTAGAGTCTAACCAAAGCCTCCTCATCCCCAGAAGTTTCCCCCACTCTCAGGACAAACCCTAATATTGTAGCATCAATTTCAGAACCTAGTTTCCCCATTTCTGTCTCTCTATAGGAGCTCTGGTGTTGCTGGAGGATAAAGTTGGAAGTTGAAACCCACCAGCTGTTCAATGGGAGAAAGATGAGGCTTTCTGCTCTCATAAAGATGTACCGCCTCGGAAACCCTACACAGTGTTGCTATGAGTAGGAATGGACTCGTGGCCATGGGTGTGGGTCTGTCACTCTTTCCTCTGCTCCCCTCACCCACTGGTTCTGCAGGGGTCTCCAGGCTGTTTCTCAAACACCCTCTTGCCTGCCTCATGAAGTTGCATGCATTGCTTTCTGCACCCAAATCTTCTGCCCACAGCTATTTGAATGTCTCAGTCCACCTGCTCATGAGTAACGTGAGGCAGCTGGCCCGGGCACCTGTGCCATACTGTGTCCTTTCACACACAGGATGTCCCCCCCCTGCAATGAGTTTCTGTACAACACTGATGAGGGTCTGGGGTGACATGCATGTGGGTGCTCCGTTTGGTGTAGTAGGCGGGTATGCACGACCACCGGGTTAGTTCACTATCTGTTGTGGTAGATGTCTGTACAAATTCACTGTCTTGTGTTGGATAATGTGTACACATGCTCACTGGCATGACACACACATGTGCATGCTCATTAGTATGACATGTGTGGGCATGTATTCTGTATGTCGGTGCTGTTTCTCTACTGAAGTCACTCTGCTGTCTTGATGAATCTGTAGATCTAGTTACTGGAACCCTGTCTAATAGAGCAGGCTCTCACCTGCTTCTTTTAACAATTCACTGAAATGATGACTGAATGAATGAATTTTTTAGTAATGTGGAGGAGGTTAAGAAGAAAGCGGTAGGGGCCACAAAACCACCTTGGTAGAAGCTAGAAGGAGCCTGAGAACTTGTTTTGGTCAGAAGTGCTGTTATACAATGTGTGCCTGAAATATTAAAAAATAAAATCAGACAAAAACATAAAAAGTTATTCAAACTATTGCAAAGTAAAAGGCATATGGAACAAACACTTCATTTCTGAAGAACCTGATGTGAATTTCACTGACTCTATTTACAGGTTGTTGTTACTAAGGCTAGAGTGGACAGAGAACCAACTGTCCCCCCAGGTCTCCCTCTACACAGGAGCTTGTCCTGGGAGTGCAGGGGCCGAGGCCTGTGGGTAGGACCCTACTGTGACCAGTAGCTCCTAGTTCCTTTTGACATTCATGGAGGGCATTTCTCTGGCTCTCCCGTTTCCACCCAGCCCTCTTTGGAGAAGTGTATGAAACTGTCTCTGGAGAAAAACAACATGCAATGGGTCCAGGCCCAGACCGCCTGGACATCCACATGGACAGGGAGCAGCTGGGGACAATGACCCTCCTTCCTTCGGAGGCACTTTCTGATGAACTGAGCAGACTCTAGGCATCTTCTAGCGCTTCCCAAACAGGGTAGGTGATGAGGCCGGTGTCCTCATTCTCCAACAGACCCCGCCTTCCTTTTGTGGACCCTTCCCCACACACCATCTCCAGCACTCTCGGTGGGCCTCCCTTTCCGGCCTCCCACTCCCCCCTTACCATGGGTGTCCTCCTCATGCTCTCCTCCATGGCTCTTGGTGAGCTTCATGCTGTCAGCATCACCCACAGGTTCTGACAGTTCCAGCCCAAGAGCACAGTGCCTGTGGAAAGAAGAGGTGACAGTCAGGACAGCCCCCCAAGTCACTGCCCTGTGCCAAGTGTATCTGGAACTGGGGTCAGAGGAGAAGGACTATGGGAAGTCAGGGTGTTGAGGGGGTTACAAGTTCTGATGCAGTAGCGCAGCCAAAGGGTCGTGGGGGTTCAGACTGGCATTTCTCTGGGGTATCTGGCAGGAAAATGTGGAAAGATCTGTCAATACAGCAGGCTGGGTATCTAAGAGCAGGGATCTGTAGACTGATGGGATATAGGGTCCTTCAGGCTGTGGGGGTTTAGACTCTCTCAGGGTGAGGAGACTTGGGATTTCACAGAGCAAGGGGCTTTTGGATCATCCAGATTGAGAGTTTGGGGACCGGAGGATGAGGTTATTTGTAATCTCTGAAGCTGACGTGATTTGGGTCCTTTATAGTTGGGAGATTTGCAATCAGTTGGGAGAAGAGGATTTGAGGTTTATCTGAATGACGAGATTTGGGGTACTTAAGTTGAGAGAATGAAGGATCCATCATGTTGAGGGGATTAGAGCCTAGGTACCTCAGACTCACATTCAGGAGATTTAGGGTCTCATGAAATGGATTTAAGGTACACAACAATGAGGTTATTTAGGGTTGCTCAGGCTGAAGAGAGGAGATCCCGAGTACCCTGGATGAGGAGAATACAGGATCTCTGAAGTAGGGTTAATATGGGGTGTCTGTGGTGAGAGTTTCAGTGTTTCTCAAATTAGGGGAATTAAGGTCCTTCAGGCTCTGAATGTTTGACGGTCTCAGGACAAGGGTCATCACTCATCTGTCAGTTTGTTGGAAGCTAAACCACTGGTATTCCAAATCCCAATGGGGTCACCCACGGGGAACAGGATTCAGCAGAGCTTCAAGATGAGGACAGACTGGAAAACAGGACCTGCCATTAATTGATATAGTGCCAGAAGATGAGGCCTTAGGTTGGGAGGCACTAAAATAAGACTGTGGAAGAGCTCCTTCCTCAGTCTGAATGATGTGGATGGAATGGAGCTTGTGGGAACCTTTACTTACTGATGGGGCACGACTCAAAATGAGAAGAAACAGCTGAGAACGTCCATTAGAGACAAGAACAAGCAGGGTGTGAGACACAGGAAAACTGGAAGTCCTCCAAAATGCCAACGTCCATTAGAAATAAGACGTGGAGTGTGTGAGACACAGGGGGATGTCCATTAGAAACAAGAATGTAGTGTGGATGAGACACAATAAAACGTTCATTAGAAATAAGAATGTGGAATGTATGAGACAGAGGAAAACTGGAAGTCATCAAAAATGAAGTGGAAAGCTTGAAGATTGGCAGCCCAGTCATTAGTGAGGTGAAATGAACTGGTATTGCCTATTATAAATCAGACAGTCATATGGTCTACTGTGCTGTGAATGACAAATGGCAGAGGATCAGAATTGTAGTCACTGTCACAAAGAATATTTCAAGGT